ACTCGTAAGTCTGTTTCTATTTATCAAAAACAAAAAGACAAAAAAAAAGAAATGAAATGACCAAAGAAAAGTTATATACACGCACACACCAAAGAATGACAAGTTCCTGAGAGAATAAAGGCACAAAATAGATCGATACCAAAAAAAAAATAGAGCACAAAGAACAAAAAAATTTTAAGACCGAGAACAAAAAACAAACAAATCGGTTTATCTATTTCTTTTTTTTTATTTATCTTTTCGACTAGAAGAAACAAATGATTGTTGAATATTTTGCGACAAAAAAAAAAACCAATAAATAATAATAATACAAAATCAATTGTTCACTGACTGACGTAAAGCATCATATTCAGCTTTTAATGCATCACGTGTTGCTTTTAATTCCATTAATTGTTCAGGTGTCGGTACCTTATAAAACAAAAATAAAATGTAGAATTAATGATTTAAAAAATTCATTCTTACATGAATTTCAAGATCGCGACAAATAATTGTTAATGGATTATCATGCCATTCATTCTGATTATACATACGTTGTAAACTATCAAGTATAGCTTGACGAACATCAGGTGCTTTTGTCTGAAAATATTCATCTACTTTATCTAATTCAGCTTCGAATGAACGAAGAAATGCTGGCTGTTGAAATTTATTATTGTTATTATTATTATTATTATTATTATCAATAGAACCATTTTTTTCATCAGTTGTTTGGTGATCTGTTTTTTTTTCAATAAAAATATCTATTTGAAAAAATAAAAACATTCTTTCAATATTTATTTTACCAGAATGTGAAAGTGATGAATCTGTTGATGAATTTGGTGGTGTTGGTGATAGAGCTGCACACATTGATAATAAACTGAAAAAAAGAAAAAAAAAGAGCAAATCTATTTGAATTTTTCATATTTTCTTTTGAACAAAAAGAAAATGATTTTGTTTAAATAAATAAACATCTTAAAATTTATTTGATTCGATAGTGGGTAAATCCATATAATATACGGAAGAACGAACAATTAATACCAACTAGTGTCACCTATGATAATATTTATTTGACAGTAAACTTGTCAAACTATATGATGCTTGTTCATCTATTCTTTTCTCTAAAAAAAACATTAGTTATATTCTTATGAACAATATCGATTGAAGTGTATACACATCTTATTTCAATATCTTACAAAGAATAACACAAAATAAAATCAGTTGATCCTCTTATTTTATTTCTTCTTCATCTTTCTTCTTTTTTGTATTGTAATATGAGATTGCCGGCAACCATCTCATTGCTTTCAACAGTATTCTCAAATCGTCATGATCATCATCATCATCATCATCATCATACATTTGGCAATGAAGAAAACAATAATGAAGTGTGATGTTGATCATATTTAATGTAATATAAAAAAAGAAGAAGAGAGAAAGAGACACTTTGTACTCCAAGGGAAATTATGAAACAAACTATCCAGTTAATATGATGCATAAAAATTGCATAATCTCTTTCGTTCGATCCCAATAGTACAAAATTGTGTTCTGACTTTTATCATAGATACACATAAGCACACCATACAACCATCACTTGCATACATGATTTAGCGTGACAGAAAAACTGATGACAGTGACGATGACGACAAGTGCCGGATGTTTCTTTTTCTGTATAGTATAACTAAAGTAATAGCTAGTTTTTAATGATAATTTGAAACAAAACAGAATATATTATGTTAATCAAAAAATTAACTTTCGATAGAATTTTGATTTAAATCAGACATATTTCTATGTTTGTTAGTCTTAAAAATAAAAGAAAACGTGTATAGACATAGAATCATTGTACAGATGGATGGAACAGTTGTGTGTCGGGAATGTCGGAATGATGATTAGCTTGTTCTTTGTCTAAACAACTTGCAAATAAAAGATGAAGAAGAAGAGACTATCGTTGTGGGAAGTCGTCAATTGAGTAGAGACCACGCTGAGTATATACATGTGCCGCATGTGGTCAAGTCGAGGAAAATATTCTATTCAAATCATAGCCTTATGTGTACTGTTCGTTTCGATCATCGTCAATCGTCATCATTTACCTTGCGATACCATAATTGATCATGGTCTTCAAAGTATATAATGATGTATTTTTCTCTCTCTCTCTCTCTCTCTCATGTTCGATGTCTTTCTTCTTTTTTTTTGTGCGTAAGTAGCCAGTCGATTGATACAAATGAACGTAGAATGGACAGAAAGGAAATTAGATAGTCTGACAGGCAATAAAATGAGAGCCACGCAATATCAGTTCGACATGTTTTCTCCATTATATTTTGTTCTTTCTCATGAACAGTTCATTCATTTCAGATTAATTCATATTCTTTGGTTAGAGCAATGATAAATCAAGTGATGACGAATTAGTCAAGATATGTATATAGACGAAGAAGAAAGAAAGAAGGTTCTTCTTTTTTTTTTCAACGCCAATAGTTAGTAGAAAGCAACCCTACACGTCCAATTAGTCTTCCATTCAAGCGTTTTCGCTCTTCTTTCCAATATTCTTGACACAAGCTCGTTATCATCATCACCAAACAAGTGTCGGTAGTATGTGTGTGGACGCTCGAGGCCACTGTCAAGTGGAATAGGGGGAACAGCTCGTTTATGCTCTCTAACTAAATTAGTAAGCGAGTATTGAACATATATACATATATACATATACGTATACATATATATATATATATATATATACACATCATGTGATTGATCGATATTAAAAGAGAAAAGATATCGTATACCATCTTACAAAAAAAAATCCAATGGTAATATGTTTATGTGTACATAGGAGTTTTAGGGATCGACATTAATGTGCTGGCTGGTCTCTCTTTTTCTTTTTCTTTTGTTTTATGCTCATTCATACGAACACATAAGCGTATATACATATACAAAACAAAGAAAATAGTTGTGCGACTCACACAATAGTCGTTCTTGTTTTTTTGTCTTTCAGAAAGAAATGGAAATTCAATTGATATATATATATATATATATATACATATATAAAAAGACTACTACCATCGCCGATCAATAAATATTTTTTTTTCATCGTTTTTTTTTCTTCTTCTTCTTCTCTTATTCTTATTCAACAGGGAGATTCTCTCTAGGTTTGTTCTCACAATAGTAAGTAGTAGTATTGGTAGTTCATCGCGTAAGCGAGTGAACAAGAAAGAGCAGAAAAAAACCATGAGGACATTTAAGGATAGAAGAGAGAGAGAGAGACTGCTTGCATAATCATTAAATTTGAAGGATTAATACGTGCAAGAAGCGAGTATAGGCATTGTTCATATATATATATATGCATGTGTTCATTCAGTTTTATGGTAGATGAATAGTGACCACTTTGAGATTCTTTCAACCGACATTGAGATCCTTGATTGAAACAATAAAAAAAAGTTATGTATTACTATTTGACAACATGCAAGATACAAAATACCGGCGCCGTATACCCATAGATCGAGCCGGTGCATTATCATCATCATCATCATCATCATCATCATCGTCCGACCCATCAATTTACAGTTCATTAGCGTTCGAACTAGTGAATATGAGGAAAGATGATGAAGCAAATGATAACAATGAGCCAATTATTTGGTTGTCTGTCTGCTTCTCTTTCTTCCTCTTTCTCGTGCTCTCTTATGCCTTCTTTTTCTCGCTCTCGCTGTCTCTTTCACTCTCATAAAACACATTGAAGAGAAAGTGGACGAAGGAAAAGAAAGGTGAATTTTTTTTTTGCTCATGACTATGTTTGTTGTTAGATGAATGGTTCATCGACGACGTGCTGCCAGAAGCAGATCATCACTAACATCCGTTATTGATAGCTACAGGTGAGTTACTGTCATCTGTCTCTCTGCCCCTTTTTTACCTATACCTATTCATACATCCTTCAGTTGAGATCTCTCATCTCACTATTTTTTTTTTAGTATAATAGTGTTTGTATTATATGTAAGCGTGCATAGATATACATTAACTGTTGATGATCGACGAGAAATGGGCGGAGATGACGCATCACATACACACATCAACTGACTATCTACGAGAATATATGAGATGAAAATTGGAAAAAAATAAGTTCATTCATTCATTTTGATCATGTCGTGAGACAGGCGTACTATCTTTTTACTTTATATTCTAACGTATTCAAGGTTAAAAAAAATAGAAACGAAAGACAACTAATCTTCCGTTTATATATATATATATGCTCGAGGCCCATAGGCTCTAATATATATGTATATATATAAGAAGCAAAATTCGTATAATGACAAAAAGAAAAAGAGTAAAAGTTGCAAACGTCAACGATAGTATAGCGTGTAAGAGGTGTTAGAATTAGCTTCTGGCTATTCTATATTCATCTATACATGTATATATATGCAAGCAAACAAGCGTGAATAGATAGAGAAGATCAAGTCTTTTTTCCTCTTTCTACGATTTCATTCATTCTTTTAGATGTACAATCATTTTTACATATTGATGAAATGATTATCCGTCGTCTTATGACGACACTATTTTTAACCGTTTTGCACACAATGACAAATAGTTTAAATGATGATTCACATATATCTCGAGATTATATTAATGTCAATGTGGGCAAACGGGTACGAATGGAATGCGAACTAAGTAATTCAACAATGTCTGGTAATATGAAAGTAAGTTCAATTATCAATGACATTCTTTTTTTTTCACCTGTCGTCAAATGTCTAATGATCATTGACATTTGAAGGAAAGAGAATATGAAACAAAAAAAAAAGAACTTTTCATTTGATTATAATCAAACTTAATGATCCTTATTCTTTTTGTTTGTTTCAGGGTCTATGGCTACGTTTAGAAGATGCCGAAGTATTTTTCTATTCAACAAGTCGAATTAATTTAGATCAACGTTTTCAAATTGAACAACGTCCTATTCTTCATATTATTAATGGCACATCGTCATATGAAATAATGACATATTCATTGACAATTGATGATGTACGTTTATCCGATGATGGGACATATTCATGTCAAGAAGACAATAGAATTATCAAACTATTCGTTTTAAATATTGTTGGTAAGCATGATCATCATATGTTTATGACATCCATACATTACATTTGATAAAGTTTGATTACATCATCGTTCTCTTCGAATATAAATGGACAAGATCACGACAAGAACAGGAATTAAAATGAGACGATGATTAGATGTTGATCTCTTTTTTTTTACTCTTAGCGCTAATGAAGATTGAATAGGAAAGAAAGAAGAAAATGAAAATCTGACTTATTTCTTTTTTTTCTTTGATAAGTGGATAACTAGATATATATTTCTATTTTGTTTGATTAGAACGACCATATTTTGTCACTGATACATATACAACATTATTACGTACACAGATCGGAAAAAATGTGTCTATTGCGTGTGAAGCACATGGCAAACCAAGTCCATTTCTCAGTTGGATAAAAAAGATCGATGGTATAGATTAAAAACAATAAGACTTTTTTCTCTTTTATTGCCATTCTTCTATTGTTTTTTTCTTTCATTATAGACGAGCAACCAAAAACGATGATCAATTGTACAACTACGCCTACCACCTGTCAATTGAATCTTTATCATGTTAATCGTTGGCATAATGGAATATATGAATGTGTAGCAACTAATTCCATTGGTACAATTGGTCGATTTTATACACTTGATGTTCAATGTAAGTTTTACGAAGTATTAAAAAAATTTAGCCATTGTTTTTTTTTTTTTGTTCTACTTTTTTATTAGTTCCGCCAGATGTTTATAGTCCTAAAGAAAAAACTTTTCATTCAATCGATGATACAATTATATTTGAATGTTTGATTGATGCTAATCCGGAGCCGGAT